CACTTGGTAAGGGGCTCTGATAGAGAGGCACTTGGTAAGGGGCTCTGATAGAGAGAACTGAGATAGATTAAAAGCTCCCAAATTTTTTCTGGTTTATTCTTTTTAGGCCCCAATAGTTTATCATGTCCCCCTCCCCCCGTAACTGAAGCCCCTTTGTCACGATTCTTCAGACCCACAACCCCATATGCCACTTAAACCCTTCATTGAGATGCCCTCTTGCTGTTGTTGAAATTTAATTTTCCAACTCTTTGCCAAATTTTTCTTAGATCCAAGTTCCTGCAGATGGGCATAACAATAAAACAGAAGGAAGTAGCTAAGCATAAGTGACCCGTCTTTTGTTGTTTTAATTCTAGCAGACAGGGGACATTCCTTATAAATACACATTAGAAAGTAGTATCTGTGGCTATTCTAAACTTTTAATATCAATCCTACTCACACAACTCAAATCTATCTTACAGAAAAATCGATGTAGCTGTGTTTGAAAAGGAATGTCGCATGGCCCTGAAATCTTACATTCCAGTTTTAAGCTACCTTCAACACAGCTTCAAATCCTGGTCCAGCCCTAGACATGGGTCTCTGGTAGCATTACAATCAAGCCTTTGGTAGATTCTAGCCTTAGTGGAGGGCCAGAATAGCACGAACAATTGCAAAATAACAAGACTTTGTTGCCATGACCCCAAACAGTCCAAACAAGGATATACAGCAAAGTGCCCTTGTTTCCTAACCCAAACTGGCTCCCCAGCTAACAGGAACACCACTGACAGAGACCATGGAGCCTACAGCTCAAATTCTCCCCAAATCACAATAGTTGCTTAAAATCATCACCACTCCCTTTTGGCACAACCTTCTGTTTCCTTTGCCCGTGCTATTTCACAAAACCTTTCCAGTTCTCTTTCCATAGAGGGCCCAGCCCAGGAGGCCTCTCAACTTCCTCAACATATCTTGGCCTCTTCATGCCAAGAGCAAAAATCCTGCTGATTGGGGGGTCAGTCCTGCAGGCAAAGGGACACAGCATTCTGTTTTGAAGAGACAACACAGCACTGCAAACCAGGCACAATTACCTCTGCAGAGATAACTGCAAAACCCACTGTACAACAGGTGCACCGGGCCAGTTCTAATTCCATCTGTGTTTACGTGACAAATGAGGCTTAACAAAGAAAAAACACAAATCAACACAAGAATAAACAGGGTGCTTTAAATCTTTCTTGCTTTAAAACTTTCTTTCTGCATGCTGAAAGCAATTTGTCTCCATTTAAAAGACTGACTCCTCCCACATTGAACAGGAATTCCTATAGAGCTGCAGCTTTCTTAAAGTCCTACTAAAACACAAATAATTTTCTAGCTAGAAATCTTAAAATGCTCAAATTCTTACCAGCACACTAGTTCCATTTCCTCTAGCATACACACGTCTACATTATAAAATGTTTTTCTTTTGAAAGGACATTCTCTCATCGTCTGCCCCGCTCATTAATTTATTGTTACTGAATCACTTTCTCTAAGCCAGTGGTTCTCATCTTCCTAATGCCGTGACCCTTTAATACAGCTCCTCATGTTGTGGCGACCCCACAAGCATAAAATTATTTTCGATACTACTTCATAACTAATTTTGCTACTGTGATGAATTGGGCCACCCCCGTGAAAGGGCCGTTCGACCCCCAAAGGGGTCACGACCCACAGGTTGAGAACCGCTGCCAAGCTAATTCTTGTGTATTGTGCTTTTCAGAAACAAAGTGAAAATGTGTATGGATCTTGGTGACATTGAGATCATGACTTCAGCATCAAGTTCAAATAAAATAAATTGAAAATTTAGGGCTAAACAGGTTGGACTAAGTACAAAAGGGGGAATGTAAATAAAGGACTAAGGGGCTTCATTGATGCTTGAGGGCAGTACAGCTTCTGGTTTGGAAGACGCACAAATAGTAACTCTGGACTGGTAGGAAATAGGAACTTGCGCTTCTAGTGCAAGGAGCAATAGAAACGAGTCATTAATCAGGAGACAAGAAACTGAAGATAAAATACCTTTACTTTCTATGGAGAGACAGCAAATCAGTAGTTGCTTAAAAACACACAAACAGTAATATGCAGTAAAGAAAATTCCTCTTATAGCTGGGCTGTGCGCCAAAGGTCTACTTTGCTGAATGGTCACTTTTCCTGGCTCTCTTACTAACTTGTGGAAAAGTATTTCTTGTCGAGGCTAGAAGATCCCAGACTTTCTGACAAGTGCTCCATTAATCCATTTTTGAGCATGTTTCTTAAGCAGAGCAGAATACAGAAGATGGTCTGACATCGTATAAGAAGAAGGGAGCCACAGGAAGAGGGCTGAGGATGCTGATGTCTTACCTCCATGATGGGATTGGAGGCCAACACCTTTTCCTCCACATTGGCCTCGCTGGCAGAACCACTTACAGTTGCAAAGTACCGCATGGCGTACTTAGCCGAGACGGTTTTTCCGGCCCCGGACTCTCCGCTTACAATGATGGACTGATTTCGCTCGTCTCTATAAAACAAAGAAGAGTAACGGTCAGTACTACCCATTTCTTAATGTGATTCACACGAATTCACCTTTGTTGCCATCAATAAGGCACAGTGGCATATTGATCCTGGTTCATAAGTACAAACTATGGAAAGGAACAGAGAACAACAGTTTTATTAAACAGCTATTTACAGTACAGTTATGCTTAAATTACAGTTAGTCAACAGGGAACAGAGAGAGTGGAAAGGAAGATATCAAACATGAAATTAGAATACATCACCCTTAAGCATTAATCTGTAATAAAGAACTTGGGGTTTTTTTGCATGTGTACATATGTCAAACATATTATTTTATTCCTAGATAATTACTTTGGTATTTTATAATCCTTCTATCAACTGCGTCCGAAGAGCAAGGAGATATTCCCTGGAGTCCCAGCAAAGAAAATTAAAAGAAAATTCTATTTAACTTAAACTAATAAATCCAAATATAAATGAAACTCCATTTCAAATTGTCCATTAGTTAAGAACCCCATAAATCTGAGCTCTTATAAAGTCCAGCTCCCCCTAAAGTACCCTCATAGCCAGGTGGGGTGGAGATTTTCCATATTCTGCCTGGTTTCACTCAAATAGATCAAGGTACAATTCATGTCTGAAGTTGTAGTGATGGAAATTATTATAAGTAACCATCTAGTGTTTGCCTAGTACTGATCGTTTTAGAATTCAAAGACCATCTATGATTATACTTTTAATTCATTCACCCAATGACTCAAAAACTCTAAGTGGGCTCTTAAAAATAAATGGTGCCAGTAACTAGCTGGATCTCCACATGTAAAAGAAGGATTCTGGCTCTAATCCTCACACCATGTATAAAAACTAACTCGAAATGAATTAGTAATCTAAATATAAGACCTAAAGCCATAAAACGTTTAGAAGAAAGTGGAGTCTTCGATAAAACACCAAAACACAAGCTTGCCTGTAATCTCATTGTTAGGAAACTCCTTCAACCTCCTATCACCATCTCCTCTGCTATTTTATTTTAATTTCAAGACTGAAATGGATACTTGCTTTGCCTCTGTTCATTCATGCCTGGACTCAAGACAAATCACTTGAGCAACACAGTTCACATTATGGTGTCAATGTCCTTTGCTCTGCCATTTAAAATCTCCTCCGAATTTACCCGGTTCAATACGTCAGGGCTACCTCAGCAGTCTTCAACAGTGAGACCCAAAAATGAACTCTTCCTTAATCCCTGCATCATCGGTGCTGTCACCATGCCCATTCAGACACGTAATTTGACAAAAGTCTCCCAGCAACCGTTCCACCAGCAACGGTGAAATGCCTGTCACCAGTTAGATGAAGAAAACAATCCTAATGGAGCCATATTCTATATTTTACTGCCTTTGAAAAGCTATTTGAAATGTGAACGGCAAAACATTGGAGCACAAAAATCTGAAAATTCCTTTGTTAACAGTCCTTTCCAATAAGTAATATGAGGGCAAATAAAAATATTAAAAGCTGTAAAATCAAGGACTGTTCAGACGAATCACGTTCACTCACTGAGGTCAAGCACTCGCAGCAGACATGTTTCTCCCCTAGGACTGAAGCATCTGATCCATGATGGATTTTTTTTTTTTACTGTCATTAAGGGATCATTATTCTACTTATATTATGGGGTAAAGAGGCTTCCCTTGTCCTCCAAATCTGGTGGAATATGTCAGTATATAAATAAAATAAGTACCATTCTTCCATTATATCAACCTCTGAGTTCAGACTTAACAGTTTCATGGCTTCGAGGCTCTCTGAGCCACCTTTGTGATATCTTTAAGATTAAAGGACACCGACGGTCCCCTTATAGTGGGTTACATGCTGGGCTGCTACTCACAAGATCAGCGGTTTGAAACCTCCAGCCACTCTGCAGAAGAAAGACGAGGCTTTCTACTCCTGGAAAGATTTGCAGACTCAGAAACCCACAGGGGCAGTTCTACTCTGTCGTACAGGGTCTCTATGACTTGTGGCCTCTCTGAGGAAGATGGAAAGGTACTGAGTTCAAATACAGTGGAGTAATTGCTATCAGTGATGTCTACCCAGGACACTACCAAAACATGGCAGAAGGGCATAAAACCAATGGGCAATGTGATCAGGGGATATTAAAGAAGACTCTCTAACAGCCTCCTGTGAATTGACGCTGTCATGGCAACAGGAGAGGAGCAGGTTGTGTGGGAACCAACCTATTTTTTCCATGAGGACCCTCAGTGATCACATTGATTTGCTCTGAGCAGCCTTTCTTATAAAGCTTTGTTTTGCACCATGTTTTCCTTTTGAACTTTACCCATATAAAAATGCAACCACTCTAGTTTACTGTGGTCATAATAGATGCTATGCAGATCTACCAAGACCACTTGTGCTCTGCAAACTGAATGAGCACACTTCTACTTCATAGCAGGGCGTGCTGGTTGGAGGACTGAGTCACGCAGAACACGAGGGAATATATATAGCCAGCCATTTGATGCTGATTCTGATAAGCACTCACCACTGTTGCCAGGTACCTTGCTCAACTAGAATCACCTGTGCCTACATCTTTAGCTGATAGGTTATAGGTGAACATGTTCATGTGAAATAAAACTTACAGTTTTCAATCTACCAATGCGACCAATCTCCTTTGTTTCTCTCTCTATAGTTGATCCTTTGTTCAAAATAGAAAATATTTCGTGTAAAATAGTGGCTCTTCCTCACCTGTGCTGCTCCCATGGTGCCTTACAGATGTGGCTACACTTACGAGTCTACTCCCCAGCCCTCTCATGAAAGGTATGCTAGGCTTCGCACACTAGTACCACTCTCCCAAATCAAGCTGATCTGTGCTCGAAGATTTCTGCTTCTGCTTAGTTCTGAGAAGAAAAGATTTCAACCCCAAAGCTGGTAGTAGACTCTGAGTTCGCAATTGCAATATACAACTGTATCTCTTGAAGTACAAACACTTATTATACAAGACGATGCTGGCACCAGTGAAAGGCAGGCTTTATGGAGGCAGAAACTGGGATCAGGAAATGAGAATGAGCATTCCCTAGAGATTTGTACTGGGGTCATCCAGTTCCCGGTGAGACGCTTGGCACATGGCCTATCAGGTCATCTCGTGTCAGCCTGAGTTTCTGTTCCATCAGTCCATGGCCTGCACAATACCAGACAGAACCAATTATATGTTTTTAACTTCCACAGCTGTTAGTCCTCTTATTAAACTAAAACCAAGCCCAGTGCTGTTGAGTAGAAGCTGACTCATCCCTGCTGCAACCTGTGGGGCAGATAATACTCCGTGAGGCTCTAATGAATAGCTCAGATAATACAGCATTTTTAAGAGGGGTCATTTACTGTGAGCTGAGGGGGTTTGCAAGTAAAACTTAGCGGGATAATGAAGATGAAGTGGAAATCGGGCAGATAAGAGAACATGCAACACAGGGTACAGAAACAGAGCACAGCAGGAACTGACCTGTTGGACTACAGCCGGCAGTTCAAAGGTTAAAAATTACATGGCCAAGACAAAAAGCTTGGGACTCTCAGAAGGAGAATCCAACCCTAACTCCCAGGGGTCATTTAGTAGCTCTCTTCCCTGAACAAGTTACTTTCCTCAGTTTTATTGCGAGTACAACAGGGGTGGTGATGGCTGCTCTGAGGGATTTAATGAGGATTTAAGGTCAACCGGAAAGCATGTTGGCACAGTAGTAGGCACCCCAAAGTGACAGTCATTATAATATATATCCGCTCACCTTTACATCACATATATAAAACCATTCTTGTTGTGTAACCAGAAGACCCATTGCGACATAGTCGATTTTGATACTGACTGTATGAGAGACACTAGACCTGCCCCATAGTGTCCACAGCTGTCATCTGTACAGAAGCAGAACCCTAACTTTCTCCTGCGGAGCAACTAGTGGGTTTGAATAGCTGGCCTATTAGTTAGCACCCACGTGTTTAACCATTGTGCCATAAATAAAATCCTTGGCACCACACACCGGGCTCAGGAAACGAAAATGAGCGTTCCCTAGAGATAGGTGCTGAGGTCATCCAGGTCCCAGTGAGGCGGTCGATGCACAGTTAGTAACAGGAAATACTTCAGAACCTGTAACAGCTGGCATCCACCTGGCCAATGAACTTCAGATCATAATTAAAGCATCTCCAGACCACATAACAAACAAAATAAGAGATGCCCCTAATGAAAAGGGCAGCAATAAATCAGGAGTGACAAAACCAGATAGAATACGGACAGCAGACTATAAAAACAATGGCTGTTGTGGTTACAAGTGCCTTGCAGTTGGTTCTGACTCATAGTGACTATGTTCCACAAAGCAAACCATGCCCTATCTTGTGCCACCCTCACAATCGTGACCTTTGAGCCCACTGTTGGAGCCACGGTGTCAAATCTCACTGACCATCTTCCTCTTTTCACCGACCCTTGACCAAGCATGTAATTTCCCAGGAATTGATACCCAACAAATATGAGATGAATTCGCACTTCGAAGGCGCATTCTTGCTGTCCTCCTTCCAAGGTAGATTTGTTTGCTCTTCTGGTAGTCCCTGGGATAGCCAATAGTCTTCAGTAGCACCATCGTTCAAGTCCAACAATTCTTCTTCAGACTTCCTTATTCAACGTCCAACTTTCACAGGCATACGAAACCAGAGGAAATGACCAGAGGAAATGCCGTGGCTTGAGACAGGAGCACCTTAAGTCCTCCAAGTGACTTCCTTGCTCTTCAACACTTTAAAGCAGGGGTCCTCAAACTTTTTAAACAGGGGGCCAGTTCACTGTCCCTCAGACCGTTGGAGGACTGGACTATAATTTGAAAAAAAACTATGAACAAATTCCTATGGGCCCAGGACGAGTTGGCTGTTAAGCAGGGCAGGCAGCGGCAGCAAAAACACCTGGTGGGCCAGATAAATGTCCTTGGCGGGCCGCATGTGGCCCGCGGGCTGTAGTTTAAGGACGCCTGCTTTAAAAAGTGTCTTTTGCATCAGATTTGCCCAATGCAGTTTGTTGTTTTAACTTCTTTACTGCTGCTTCCACGAGCATTGATTGTGGATCCAAATAAAATCAAATCCTTAGCCTTCCAATCGTCTATTTATCATAGTGCTGTCCAGTTTTGAGGATGCTGGTTTTCTTGACATTGAGTTGCAATCCATGATGAAGGCTGTAGTCTTTGATTTTCTTCAGCAAGTGCTTCAAGTCCTCCTCAGTGTAAGCAAGGAAGGTCTGTCATCTGCATATTGCAAGTTGTTAATGAGTCACCTTCACACACCCCCACATTGTTCAGCTTCTTGGATTATTCGCTCAGCAACAGATGGAATAAATATAGAAAATGGATACAACCCTGATGCACACCTTTCCTGATTTTAAGCCTTGTTCTGTTCAAAAAATCCCTCTTGGTCCACATGCAGGTTTTTCTCCATAAAACAAAACTGTTCTGAAATTTCCACTTTTCACAGGGTTATCCACACTTTGTTATGATCCACACAGTTGAAAGCCTTAGCACAGTCAAGGAAACAAGTAATTATCTTTCTGGTATTTCAGCTTTCAGCCAAGGTTCATCTCATTCCAGCCATAATATCCCTTGTTCCACATCCTCTTCCAGTTCCTGTTTGAATTTGTGTAGCTCCCTGTTGGCGGACTGCTCTAACAGTTTTGGACTTATTTTCAGCAAAACTTTACTTCCGTGTAGTATCAGTAATATTATTTGATAATGTCTGCATTCTGTTGAGTTTTCTTTTTTGAAATGGGCATACTTATGTATCACTTCCAGTTGATGGCCAAATAGACTTATGAGAGCTTCCAGCACTGCATCGGTTGTTGAAACATTCCATTAATTCCTATAGCCTTGTTTTTGTGTTTGTTTTTAAATCATTTTACTGGGGGGCTCTTATATGTCTTATGGCAATCCATCATTCAAAAGCACACTTGTATATATGTTGCCATCAACATTTCCAAAACATGTTCTTTCTTTTTTAAAAAAATCATTTTATTGGGGGCTCCTACAACTCTTATCACAATCCATATATTACATGTACTGTGTCAAGCACATTTGTACATTTGTTGCCATCATCAGTCTCAAAACATTTGCTTTCTACTTGAGCCCTTCGTATCAAATCATTTTTCCACTCCCTCCCCCACCTTCCCACCCTCGTGAATCCTTGAGCAATTATATATTATTGTTGTTATTTGTCTCCTTTCACCCACATTTCTGTTATTCATCTCCCTGGGGAGTGGACTATATTTCCAACCCTGTGATGGGGTCCCCCTGTCTCCCCCACCCCATCATCCCCCTAGCCTCATGATATCACTACTCCCACTACTGTTCCTATGCTGTACTGCACCCTGGTTGATCCTCCCTTCCTTGTAACCCTTCTGTGCGGGGATGTCCAATTGTCTGCAGATGGGCTTTGCTTCTCCACTCTAACCCCCCTCATTCACATTGGTATAATTGTTTGTTTTGGATCTTTTGATACCTGATACATGATCCCTTTGACACCTCCTGATCACCTATAGCCGTGTTTTTGAAAAGTGCCTCCATTGCAGCTTGGACCTCTTCCTTCAAGACCATTGGTTCTGGATCACATGCTACCTCTTGAAATGGATGGACGTTAACCAGTTCTTTCCGGTACAGGGACTATATTTATTTCTTCCATCTTCTTTTGATGCTTTCTGCATTGTACAGTATTCAGCTCATAGAATCCTTCAGTATTTCAACTCAAGCCTCAGTTCTTTCAGCGTGATCCATGCTGAACATGTTTGTCCTTCTGGGTTTTCTAACTCCAGATCTTCTCACATTTCTTTTTAATATTCTACTTTGCCTTTTGAAGCCGCCCTTTATTGTGCTTGAGTTTCTTCATTTTCCGTTTAACTGACAATCCGACATAGGTCGTCGGTTCAGGTTATGCATTTGGGGCAGGAATATGCAATCTGTTCTTCCCATAGCTGCCAGGCCATACCACTCCTCTACTTGAAGTCCTCACTCAAAGGAAACATCTAACTCGTTGTGATTAACTCACAAGGTCTTGTGCAGTGTTTCGATCGCTGTTCTCTGTCAAGAATATTCTTCCTGAAGATATGTGAATGATTTTCTTTCTCTCTTTCCTGATATTATTAATTAAATGTTAGCTTTTTTTCTAATGGAGTTAGATAAGGATAGCAGGCAAACACTGAAATAGATAAACTCTGCGGGGCTCTAACCACATCATTGAACATACTATAAAACCTGAAACTCATTGCCATCAAGTTGATTCTGACTCATAGTGACCCTACAGTAAGGCGACCAGACGTCCCGCTTTTGGCGGGACAGTCCCGATTTTTAACAACTTTTTGAAAGTTCCGCGTCCCGCGCATTTTGAAAGTGTCCTGATTTTTGGAAAGAATGCAAGACAAGCTAGGGTATACGGTTTTCGGCTGCCATGTGGCTATTTTGCCAGGGTATGAGTTTTATCAATGGTGTCCCGCTTTACCAATGTTAAAATCTGGCCACCTATAGGGCAGGGTAGAAGTTTAATTCTGGATTTCTGAGACTATAATGCTTTAGAGGAGTGGAAAGCCTCACCTTTCTCCTGCCGAGCTGCTGGTGGTTTCACACTGTCAACCTTGAGGTTAGCAGCCCAATGCGTAACCACTACACCACCAGGGCTCCTACACATACTATAAAGGCACTGTAATTAAAAGACTGTGGTACTGACACAGGGAGTAGGGGAAAAGAAAAAAAGACTCCCAGAAACAGACCTGAGATCATGCAAGCAATTAGCATATCAATTAAGCAGTGCCCCAGATAGATGTGGCTGTATAAAGAGTGCTGGGATGGCTGGGCAGCCATTTGGAAAGAAAAAAATAAATTTAGATCCATACTTATCATACAAAAGAATACACTTCAAATGGATCAGGGCCGTAAGTGTAAAATATGCAACAATATAAAATAAGAACAAAACAGATGAATTTTTCTTTTGCCTTGGAGAAAGGTTTCCGACACTAAAATCAACAGATTGATCTATTTGCATAGAAAAAAACACCATAAAATAAAAATAAGAGGGAAAATATTTGAGATATGTACACACATACACACACACACACACACACACACACGGTGGGGGGGTTCAGAAGTTTATGGAAATTTTAAAAATTTTTATTAAAATTTTTAATTCCATTTTTCTACAAACATTTTGAAGCCTGGTCATATGTATGTATATATATGTATGTACACATATGCACACACATATATATACATACATACATACACACACACACGAGGGAGTACCCCCCAAAAAACGGAAACTTTTTTTCAAAGCTATGTATTTAATTTTTTTTCCTTTTCAAAGCTATGTATTTAACTTTTTTTACAAACAACCTTCAAAATACTGTCCATTACACTTAATACATTTGTCAAATCTGAGATTACCTTCTTTTTTATTTTATTGGGAGCTCATACAACTCATCACAATCCATACATGCATCAATTGTGTAAAGCACATTTGTACATTCATTGCCCTCATCATTCTCAAAACATTTGCTCTCCACTTAAGCCCCTGGCATTAGGTCCTCATTTTTCCCCCCTCCCTCCCTGCTGCCTCCTCCCTCATGAACCCTTGATAATTTATAATTTATTATTTTGTCATATCTTACACTGTCCAACGTCTCCCTTCACCCACTTTTCTGTTGTCCATCCCCCAGGGAGGAGGTTATATGTAGATCCTTATAATCGATTTCCCCTTTCCACCCCACCCTCTCTTCACCCTCCTGGTATCGCCACTCTCACCACTGGTCCTCAAGGGGTCATCTATCCTGGATTCCCTGTGTTTCCAGTTCCTATCTGTACCAGTGTACATCCTCTGGCCTAGCCAGATTTGTAAGGTAGAATTGGGATCATGATAGTGGGGCGGGGAGGGGAAGGAAGCATTTAGGAACTAGAGGAAAGTTGTATGTTTCATCGTTGCTACACTGCACCTTGTAACCCTTCTGTGAGGGGATGTCCAGTTGCCTACAGATGGGCTTTGGGTCTGCACTCTGCACTCCCCCTCATTCACAATGATATGATTTTTTGTTCTTTGGTGCCTGATAACTGATCCCTTCAGCACCTCGTGATCACACAAGCTGGTGTGCTTCTTCCATGTGGGCTTTGTTGCGTCTCAGCTTGTTTATCTTCAAGCCTTTAAGACCCCAGACGCTTTAGCTTTTGATAGCCGGGCACCATCAGCTTTCTTCGCCAAATTTGATGCCCCCCATTTGTCTTCAGTGATCATGTCGGGAAGGTGAGCATCATAGAATGCCAGGTTAATAGAATAAAGTATTCTTGCCTGGAGGGAGTACTTGAGTGGAGGTCCAATGTCCTCAAGGGCAGTTTTAAAACTGTATATCCTTCTACTGTTGCCTGGAGCTGAGGAGCATGGGGTGGGATGACTGATTACAAAGGGATATGAAGGAACTTTCTAATGTGATGTAAGTCTGCCACACCTTGACTGTGTTGGTGTGACATGGATGTGTACACGTTTAAAAACAAACCAAACTGTATACTTACAACGAAAGCTTTTACTTGCAGGTAAAATCCACTTCAATAAAGCTGACTACTAAGAAAAAAACAAATCTGGATGTCCTTTTATAAATGTGAGGCTCGTTTAAAGATAACCTGGACCTTCTGAGAGAAACAGATCAGAGCTTACTCTGTAATGATTTTCAAGTTGCCAAGCACTGCGTTTTTAAATGTCTGTGATAAAAAAGAATTACCACAGCTAACAAGACCCATCAAATAACAAAGCTTCACCAACCTGGCCATTTGCTTGTATGCTTCTTCAGCTACTGCGAAGATATGTGGATCCATATCGCCCATGTTCTGGCCACTGTACGCGTTGATGATATCCTCTCCATAAATAGGCAGCTGTTCATAGGGATTTATAGCGACTAGAACTATCCCTGGGGGAGGAGAGCAAGTAAAGCCAGCAATGTTATTCTTGGTATGTTGTGAAGCAACTTGATATTGTAAAAATTCATCAATAATTTCACTGTCTCCTATCTGACCTATTTGTCTCCACTTGACATCAGTGGTGATCAGACGGGAATGTCGAATTTGGTAAAGTGAGAATTATGACAAACACAAAACCTCCTTTCAATTACTATTAAACAAACAAAACTTTGTGTCTAAGTACAAAATATGTCATCGCCTTTGCCTCTGAACCCATTGTACCAAAACAACAACAACAACAAAACCCGCTGTGCCAAGTAGATTCCAGCTCATGTTAACCCTATCGGACAGCGTAAATCTGCCCCATAGATTTCCAAGGCTGTTCGTCTTTACAGAAATAAGCTGTCACGTCTTTTTATCTGTGGAGCATTTTAGACTCTGCACTACACGTGACTCCATCCCATTACACCTCGTCTTAACTAACACACCATTCAGAAATTAGACTACCACACACACTGCCACGTTTCTGACTTAGGTAAACCCTAGGTAGGGTTTCTGAGACTGTCCATCTTTATGGGAACAGAGAGACGCAGCTTCCTCCATTGGAGCAGCGGACAGGTTTAAACCACTGATGTTGTGATTGTCTGTCCAGCACCTCAATCATAGCACCATCAATGCTAGAAGCTCTGGCAATGTTATAAGACCGTTAAATAGTTCTGTAATATTTAAACCAGAACTCGCACTTCTACACATTTATCTAAGTGATAAAATCAGAGAGTATGCTCCTTTACAAAGACATGTATCATAATACTATTCTTGCAGGTGAAAAGTAAAGACACGTTGAACCTGTAATCAAGGGAGAGCGGGAGAAAACATTCTGCTGCATTATTGTGCTACCACCAAAAAGAGAATTTCTGAAGAATATTAACTGTCATTTGAAAGGAAGACATAAAACTACAACGGAATGATTCTAATTATATATATACATACCCTGTCTACATACACAGAGAAATAACGGCTTATTATAGTTTTTCTTTTATAAAAAATATGTCATTAAGGATGTCTTCATTGCATAAGTCAGTTCATTTGACAAGTACTGAATGAGTTATAACTATACATCTAGCATCATCTCAATGCTGGGTTTGCAACAGTAAATTTAAAAAGGCAGACCTTTACATTCATGGAACTTATGTCCTACTGGAGAATTCAAGCAATTAACAAGACAATTCATTTAAACACACACTACAAATGAGGGAGCTTTAACACATTTGCAGGAACATTTTATTATCTTTTCAGTCCATGTTTCCATAAACTTTTTGAAGTCTCTTCCTGGAGACATATGTATGTATATCATAGGTCGTAGTAAGAAAAAAGAAAAAACGAGGCAGCGAAGTTAAAATAATCAGGAAGGAGAGGAAGGCGGGTTATGATGGTAGACAGGGCAACCAGGGAAGGCGGCACTGAGAAAGCTACATATGTGCAAGAAAAAATTAAACGGAAGGACAATGACAATGGGAGACAGAAACAATCAGCGTTCGTAGGGACAAGGAAGAGTCACTATCAAGGACATAAAGAATGCCAATTCTCTTACAAAGAACAGACGCCGTCTCTTTCCAAAACCAGAGGGCGAATGAAGAGGATGAGTCCTGAGTTTGTTCCACTGCCCAACTGAATTTGTGGAGACAAATAGAAATCTTCTGGAATAGAATGGAAATGCCTGGAAATTCCAAAAATGGATGGGCGTCTCAGACCTGTGCCTTGGAAAAGAGTGGCTGGTCAAGGAGACGTCCGTGGGGAAAGGAAGAGGGAGACAATAAAGTGTAAGAAGAAATCGAGAGAAAAGGCGGAAACAAGGACGGTGAAAGGGAACGCACGGGTACAAACATGGACACACTTCACTTCTAAGAGAGAGGCTAAGACTCATGAGCGGGGTCTCTGGCCACTAACGCTGCAATAAGCAGGACCCAGGAGAGCAGAATCGAGCAAAAATAGCCATGGCGGGTCAAGTGCTTATTTTAAATAACTGAGAAAGAGAGAAAACACTAAACTTCCTGAGCCAGCCTCAAAGCTAAGACCTTCTGCGTCTTGCGCTTCAGGCAGTAGTGTTTGTAAGAGGAGAAAATAAAGGTAAACAGGGCATTGAAGGTGGCACACGGCTTCAGTAGAGGGGAAAATAATCCGAAAGACAGACCCAGGTCTTTTTATTCCCGGCCAAATAAATTCAGGGAAGACTCTACTCAACATAAAATGCAACTTGGCTAATCGACACTGACGAATTTTTTTGCTACCTTGAAGAGAGCAAGCCACTCAGCCCATAGCCTGTCTCCCTCTCGGCCATCAGAGGAAAGCGTCCACAGGCTTTGGCAGGCGGCGAGGCACACTTACCACAGTATGTGTAAATCAGCTTGGAATCAATGAAGCGGACTCTGAGATTGTGCAGCACAGCAGGCTCATGGAGATAGCTGAGGGCGGTGAGGTCATTCTCACCCACAAGGATGTCAGGGTTCCGTAAGTGGGGCAGCTCCTTGGTCTTGGGGTCTAGACGGTATTCCAAATCCTAGAAAGATACAGGACCCGGCGTGAGGGTAGATCAGGCCCATGCATGTTCACTATCGCTCCTGACTCCTGATTTGCTCCTCAGACGTTAAAAGGATGACTCTCCTGGTACCTTCCAATACCACAGAAAATTGGTAGAAAGATGTAGTAACTTGTGTTGCTATTCGGTAACTAAAGTTTGAGAAGCCAGAGTCTAGACCTTTGTTTCACCTTTTAGATCTGTATAGTGCGATATGCTTTTTAATTCTCCCTTCACCTCTGACAAGCAAGAAGTAGTGGAAGAGAGTGGTCAGAGCGCAGCTCTAGCATCAGATAAACCTGGCTTCCAATCCTGAAAGTGGAACTTTCTTCCTATGCAGCCGTGAGTACTTTATTTAACCTTAATCCCTAGTCCCTCGGCTAGAAAATGGCCATAATAAAAACAGCTGCCAGGGTTGTGGTGACAATTAAGTGAGGCGACGCCTAACAGACAGTAAGGAGTTGGAAACACCTCTGTCATAAGAAAGCCAAAGGTTCCCAGGAATTACGTACGTTTATGTGTATTGTGTGAATATAGATGTATGTAGGATTTAAAAATATATAATCCACAGTTTTCATTAGACTTTAGTAGGTACCTGTCTCAATAAATAAATAAATAATGAGTACTATTCACTTTAAAGCCAGAGGGATACAGTTTTACGCCAAAAGTCAACCATGAAAAAAAAATACACACACTATGTAATCAGGACAAATGATCTAGGGCACATGAAAAGAAACAGAACACACTGCCCCTGTGATTTCTGAGACGGGAGCTCTTTCTGTTTGTTTTATGAAAGGGTTATTATCCACATCACTGAAATAATCCCCTAAGAACAATATACTCCGTGTTCATTTAAAGGGATAGATTGCTTTCAAATACAGTAATTCTATAAAGCAATACTGTCAAGGCAAAACTGGTTGAATTACATCTCTATACTGCAGGCTTAAGCAATGCAATTTTTTATTCCAATGGTGATATGAGGCTGTAATTCTTTTTTAAAGAGTTTTATTAACCCTTTATCCATATGCCCTACAATTCAATAATTCATTCATATCAAGAAGAGTTTACCATTGTCATCATATTCTGTTCCAGAACATTTTCTTCTTCATCGTAGTCATTGTTATTCATGCAAGTATTATTTTTTCTAATTGTGGCAAATATACAAAACAGAACACTCTTCAATTCCACAACTTCTACTTGTAGAATTCAGTGTCACTGATTATACTCTCTGTGCTGTACAGCCACTATTGATATCCTTGTCCATATGTTTCTACCACCATTGACACAAACTCAAAGCCCCCTACAAACAACTCTTTCCCCTTCTCCTGTGGTAACCATTGGTCAGGTCTGGTCTTTCCTTTCGTATTCTTCTTCTTTTTCTCATGGTTTTCTTGATATGTACTCACCGATCATATACTTCCATTGTTAAATCACTTTTAAAGTGAATTGTGTGATCACAATCAGTTCTAGTGCTCCCTCCCCACTCCCGCACTCATTGTTTGCTCCCCAAATCCCCTCCTCATCTCACCCCCTATCCCTATATTCCCTAAAAACCCTTGAATCAGTTTTTATCTCCATGTATCTACTCCTTCTGCGCATCACAAACTGAGAAACCCAACAGAAACAATAAAAAACAAAATAAAGTGGAAGGATAAAATAGTAATATAAAGATAAAACTACAAATTCAAATAATGAATAAGAAAGAAAAGACCACCATCAATATTTTAAAAGCCAGGGAAGAAATTCTTGTCATAGAACAAGTAAGAAATACTTGTGCATAGAACATTCAGGTTGGGTCAAGAGGAGGTCAGCTGACCAAGTATCGAGTTTGATCCAGCCTAATCAAGTTTACAATGATCGCTATCTGATAGTAAAGCTGTGACACCCTTGCCCGTGGCTAGAGGGGATCTGCCAGAGACTTAATCTGACTAGATATGCTGCAGATGGGTTTTGGGCTCCCACTGTCCTCCACAGCCTTCTAAAAATTGTGTGTTCACAATTTAAGCTCTGATACTTTTCCCTACATCATATTTGAATTTTGTTATTGTCATCGTTGGGTCACACAAGCTGGTGTGCTTTTTCCATGTGGACTTGGTTGAGTTCTCACTTACATGGCTGCTTGTTTGAATATAAGCTTTTAAAACCCCAGGCACTATTGCGATTGATAGCCAGGCACCATCTGCTTTCTTCACCACCCTTTGCTATAGCACCTTATCTTCAGTGATCATTTCATGAAGGTGAGTATCAAGCAGGGCCATGTGATCAGAACTAACTGTCCTTGGATTGGAGTTAAGTTGGAGCCCAGAATCCACCTGCTTGTCCAAGGGATATGCACGACTCAGGCTTACTTTGGCAGTCATATTATGACAAAAATCACAACCCAGAAGATCAACAACACCAACAATAACAACAAACCAGTCAGCAAACAAAGAAACATGCTTAAGGCAGGAAAAACAAAAATCCGTAGAAACAAGGAAGTAAAACACTGTCAATCATCCCACTGGGGTATAAAGCGATTGCACTGACAACATCACCAATTTTTCCAATAACTCATCACCCTGGACACTGTCAGTATGAGGAGTGCATGCCAGTACAGTTTCAACCATGAGTTGTTGTCCTGCACAGTTCCATCTTCCATTCAATTGGGCTCTAGTTACCCTACGCATGGGGATTGGTGCCAGAGGGAAATTTCCTGGATCATTTTTTCCAAGTGCAGATCCCAGCACCATAGATCAACTCCTGTCATATCACTTCAAGGGGGGCGGGAGGTAGAAGCATCGAGGTACTTAATATATGGTGAGTCTGGGTCCCTTTTTATTGGTCACCCTCCAAGCTGGGCCCCCCCTAAGGTCTAATGACCACCACTTTCACAACGCCAGGGTGGCCACTCTCTGCTTCCTCTCCCATCCCCATCCCTAATCCTCAGCCCAAGGGTGCAGGCAGCTCAAGGCGGGGCTCAGGTCATTCAGCAGGGCCTCTTTGTTAAGTTCTTCTGGTGTAGCCCGGGGGGATGCCATGCTGCCTGCAAGGTCAGCTTCCACGATATTCACAGTGCTTAGTCCATGGCCTGGCTCATCGAGGGTTGGGTATAAACATATTCGTAGTGTCTACCCAGGAATATCAAATCGGGTCCATTGCCCCGTAGGTTCCCTACGATCATTGCTTCGCATCCCTTCGCTGTGTGAGGTTACTTCTCCCCAATCACCCAGCATACTCTCCAACAGAACTATCAGTGTCTCCTCCAAAATGTAGATGCTCCCCTTCCCTGGTCTTAACTTGATTTTCCAGCAAGGTTCTCCTTCTATTTCTGTAGGGGGGGCCCCATTGATTTGTCCCAGTTTATCTCAATGTTGTCAAACCTCAAGATGGCTTTCTCCCATCTCCCCCCTCTTGAAGGAGTGACTCCAGACAACGTGAGGTGTCCTCCTTCAAAGTGCTACTTGTGAAGTGCGCATAAGAGAGGTCAAGTATGGTTCATGGCCAGTAGATAGCCTGAGACTGTGACTCTTTATGAAAGCCCAGGTTTTGTCTCACAAAACTGCTGGTGGTTTCGAACTGCCAACCATGCTGATCGCAGCCCAACAGGTAACCACTACACCACCAGGGCTCCTTCGTGAAAAGAAAAATAAATATGATTTAAATGTAGAGAGGGACAAGTTATTTTGCAAAATGCCACTTTTGTTGACATCAAAGAGCTATACAGAAGTCAAATACTAAAGTCAGATGGGAATTAACTATGTGAGAAGGAGAGAAAATTCTAGCATCTGCCCTGTGGCCTGCCTCTTTGGTTGGACGTACCTCCTTAAGGTGGAGGAATCCTTGCATTGGTTCCTTCCACACACAATTGCCTTTCTTTGCTTTCCTTCGCCAATTGCTTAAAGTGCCCACACGACACTCTCCTTTTCTACTCATTTACGACATGGAAATATAGCGTTAGCTCTTAGATGGTGAGACCAGATGATGCAGAATCTTTAGAAATGTCCAGAACTCCATCGATTCATTGATAATTCAGTTGTCTTTTCAACCACGTAGTTTTGACATACATAGGACCACTTATGAGGATATCATTTTAAACACTATATGACCCCCATAATTTCCTTATTAGCAGTTCGTCTCTCTAGTATATTGAAGATTGAAGGTTAAAAAATGATCTTTTATGGCTCTCGTGCAGTTTTCCTCCTGTTGACTGTACTCCATAAACCTTGAATACCCCCATGAGACCCATTGGACGTGCCACTAGCGATGCAGGAAGTGCTCCCAAGAGGCAGAGAGGAATCATGCCATTACAAGAAAGAGTTGAGTTGTTTGGTATGTAGCCTGAGATCTGTAGCCGTGGCTGCCCAGCATTTCAAGACATGAATCCAACATAAAGACCAACGTGAAAGAAAAAATAACGGAACTCAGGAAGTCATTGTTGCAGATGCATCAGCAAGCAACAAAAACCTTGGCCTTTTTGCTAAATACTTTATCTCACATTGAAAATGCGGCTTTTAGGTGGATGTAACATATATGAGAAAATGGGCTGCTTTGTGTTATCAGTCACACTGCCAGCCAACTGTAAGTCATAGGTAGTGTTCAAGGAGTCAGAACAGATTTTCAACGACACACGGTGTCCACAGCCCCAGCCCCCACGTTCAAGCGTCAACCGCACTGCTGTCCCGGCGGTGTTACCAAGACGAAGCCAGAAGGGCAACATATCAGACGCTCTCAACAGTTTTCATTCGAGGATTTGGTCTGTAATTAACTTATTTCAACAAACATGCATTCAAACCCCATCGGTACTGTGACTTCATGTATTGAGACTTCAATTCTCCTACTGGCTAAGTAGTATTGCGTTTTATATACGTGCCACATTTTGTTTATCCGTTCATCTGTTGATGGGCCTTTGGGTTACTTCTATCTGCAGTGAATGTTACTATAGAGAACCATTTTCTAATCTGTGTCCAAGTCTTTCTGGCACATACCTAGAAGTAGGATTTCTGAGTCAGGCAGTAGGTCTATTTTCAATTTTTACAGGAACCGCCACACTATTTTTCAGATGAGTTGTACCATTTTGCAATCCTAATAGCAATTGATAAGGGTTCCAATTGCTTTACCTCCTTGCCAATAGTTATTATTTCCCTTTATTAACCGAAAAAATCTTAGCCATCCTGGTGGGACTATGAAGGTCTCTCACTATGATTTTGACATTTCTCTCTCTGATGGCTAATGATAAGCATCTTTTCGTGTATTTGGTGGTTATTTGAATGTCCTCTGATGAAATGTCTATTCAAGTCCTTTGCCCATTTATGATTCTTTGGCTTTTAGTTGTTCAGATGTTGAAGTTTTATACACACACAACCACACACATATATTTATTATATGATTCCCAAAGATATTCTCCCAATTGTTAGCTCACCTTTTCACTGTGTTTATAATATGGTCTTTTGATAAAATTTTCAAATTTTATGAGGTCTCATTCATTTGTTTTCTATTTTGAGCTTTTTACTTGTGTTTTGCACTAGATAATCCATTGTTGAAAGGTAGACCTGACGACACTGCTCTCACAGCTTGTTCTTCTGAGAACTTTGTGGTTTCTGTGTGCATGTTCAGTTCCTTAGTCTATTTTAAACTTTGACTTTGTGTGTGGTGTGCGGCATGCAGCCTGTTTCACTTTTCTGCAGGTGGAACGCTAATGTTCCAGCACCATTTGTTGAAGAGGCTCTTCTTTCCCAAGAGACTGGACTTAGCACCCTTGTCAAAATCTAGTCCTGGGCATCCCCTTACAGAAGGGTCGTGGGGAGGAGATGAGCCAGTCAGGGCACAGTGTAGCAACAATGAAACATACAACTTTCCTCTGGTTCCTAAATGCTTCCTCCCCTCCACTATCATGATCCCAGTTCTACCTTACAATCTGGCTAGACCAGAGGATGTACACTGGTACAGATAGGAACTGGAAATACAGGGAAACCAGGACGGATGATCCCTTCAGGACCAGTGCTGAG